GGAACGATAAAATCATAGGAGATTTGGTTCTGTGGTCATGATAAACCTTTGGTTCACCATATTTTTAGGCTAAATTATATGAGAATTATATGGTAGATTGCATGGAATTCAAGGTTTTACAACATATATATCATAAGATAGGAAATTGAGCTAACGTTTTGATTTTCTTTGCATTTTGAAGATAAAACCACACTTATTGGTACTAATAAGTGATGAAGAAATCATGACAAAGAGTTGCAGTTCAATATATACCAAAGAAAGTCAAAATACTACAAGTCAAGGGCTAGAAGAGCACGCTCAAGCGCACAGAATGGATGCTCGAGCGCGTCCAGGTAGGGAAACAAGCTAAATTGAGCAATCCAGGACGCTCAAGCGCCCAAGACTGCAAGAGTTCACCATCGAAGTGCACGCTCGAGCGCCCAATTGGCCGCTCGAGCGCGTGTGGGCAGACTAATTCAAGCAAATTGTACACATTTGCGCGCTCAAGCGCCGAGTAGCGCGCTTGAGCGCCCAATACGAACCCAATCAGCCCAAGATTTGATTTGATTTGCTAATTGATACAGATTTGTAATATTCTGAATAAAAGCGGAAACAAATCAATCTTTATTTATTAATGGATAGAGATTCATGGGGAGATTGGATGGAGAATTAAAAAGATATGGCTTCAATAGTTATAAATAAGGAGCTGAGGGTCAATAAAAGGAGAGGAATTCCCTAATCTAGAGAATTACACAGAGACTTGAGGGAGGAATCCTGTTGCGGAGCGTTGGAGCACTGAGGAACCAAGTCAACGTCACACCAATGGAGGCTTGGGGTTCTCTTTTCTTTATTATTGTTTTTGAATTCAGTATGCTAGGCTAGAATTTTATGTAGTTAAGGGTCGATGGAACCCAATTGAATCGTATGTCTTGAATTAAATTGTTCCTGAATTCTTTTCTTTTATAATTGAATAAATTTATCAGTCTTTAATGCTTTCTATGAGTTTGATCCTTATAGATTGATTTAAAGGAATTGTATGACAATAGGGATGTTGGTGCATGAACCTTGACTTGGTAAATTTATCATAATCCTTGTGATCTGGGATAGACATAGGGCAATTGTGCAATCTTTAAATTCTTGATCTTAATGCATGTTTTCTTGGAGAATAATCAGGGAACTAGAGTTCTTTCAAGATCACATAAATTTAGGGTAACAAGGAATTGAACCCTAATTAACTTAGAAAGAGTTGATTGGCATTATATTAAGAAAGGATTCTTGACAGTTTAATTCATAGCATATAGACGAGGTTGGGGGAAGTTAAAACCCTAACTACGCTTATTTTTAATCTTTTAATCAATCATATTTTCAATTGCTTTCTAATTTTGAATTTTAATTTGCATGTTATTAATTGTTTTTAATTTCACTTCTCTTCATCTCAATCTTTGTTGTCCAACTAAATCGTTGTTAGCGAACTAGTGCTTGAAAATCAATCCTCGTGGGAACAATCTCGCACTCAGTACACTTTTATTACTTTTACAATCGGTGCACTTGCCGAAGTCGCAATAGGTCACAAGATATTAAATGCAGAAACTTAAAGATAACATTAATTAAGAGACAATAAGATGAATGATTAACAAAAATAATTTTAACACAAGGAACAGATCCACTATTCCATTCTTAAATAGCTATGCTCTCAACTCAATACTTAACCCTTCTAAATTTGTTCCGGTCTTTTTACTGTCAACTCTGATTTCTTAGCTCATGGACTAAATGGCTCACAAGTTTCCATATTCTTATGGCTTCCTTGACTCCAACAGTTACAAAGTTCAGAATCTTCAGGGAACAAGGCGGTTCCTTATTCCTACGGCAACCAGTAAGATTGTTTCCATAATCTTACATTCTTCCTATGATTAAGCTGTCTAAAATATATTCCTTAAGGAAGTTCCTTTCTCAGTTTGCGTTCAATTTCCATTGATACTCAAAGAGTTAAGATTACTTGAATCATAGAAATACAAAAGTTTCAGTGCAAGAGTTTTGAACATAGTTCTTTAAGAATTTCATAGTTTTTCCATTCCAAAATAACTTAGCCCATGGCTGAAAACACAAATATAATTATTTCAATCTGAAATTCCATAGACCCGAGATTCAGTTTGAAGATAACGAGTAGAAGAGAAGAGAAATAACAAGCGTATATTAATAAACAATAAGCTACAATACTGAGAAATAAAATGGAGAAGTATGGAGATTGCTCGTGAGGAGTCTCAGATGGTGAAGAGGAATGAGGAAAGGGTTGTTGTCAGTTAGCTATTGCTAAAACTATACAAGTAAAATATAGAAACGTAAACTATGAACTAGCTGATCTCTCCTTAATGAATTTGATCCTCTCTTCGTCTAGGGTTATCCTATTTATAGGCTAAATGAGAGAATGACAGTCTTGTGATTTTCCTTCAACTGTTCCGTGATTGTATGGAGAGGCAGTGAACTGGTGCTCTGACAGGTGAAGCAAGTTGCTTGATTAGATGGCTTAGGGTTGAGTTTTGTCTTTTTATTCTGAAACCCACATGCCTCTCTTTTCTTTCGACCAATGAGCACTCTTCTTTCTCTAATGTACACATTTCTTCCTGCTTGATTGCTATACTCCCTCTCTGCTTTTAGATACTCCTGTTCAGACTTTCCTGCAAAAAAGTCAGAGGAGAGGTTAGTGGAGCAGGTGTACAAATAAGTCAAACTGTTCTCTTTTTTACTTATGTATCAGTTGATTGTATTAACATCTGTTCCTTTCTGGTACTTTTGTTCCCACAATCTGGGAACGTATTTTTACAGCAAAAATTGAATGCTAGACAGCGGAACAGGTGGATTTTTATCAGTAAAATGAGCTTAAATAGGAATGAATTTTCATCCCATCAATGTGATAACCTCATTTTTGTTGCTCACCATCTTCAACTTTTGATGCTTTGTGGAAACCAGCTTGTCCCACCTATGCAGGGTTGGCCTTCCTAGGATCACATTATATGGAGAGGGAAAGTCGGCAACAATGAACCTTACTCGTTCTGACTTGAATGCCTCCTTTGTTTCCAGAGTCAGTCTAAGGTCTATATAACCCTTAGGGGGTGTATTTTTCCCGTTAAAAGCTATCAGGGTAGTTTTGCACGGCTTAAGAATCCAAATTCATTCTTTTAAAAGCATCCCAAAGAATGATATCTGCACAGCTTCCGGCATCTACAAAAATCTTGTTAACTCGACAATTCAGCAGGGTTCCTGTAATAACTCGACAATTGATATGTTATGACTTACAATTTCTTTTTATGAGATCCTTTTGGAGGCATCCACATGTTTGTTTGTCTAAAGAGCTTATGGAATTCCTTATAGAAACTAATCTAAATATGTGCATGGTTAAGAAACTGAGTTTCTTGAATCAAGGAACAGATTCCTTAGCCAAGATGAGGCAGGAAGACACCCTTGCAAAGTACAGAGCTCTGATATATAAAAAAATTCATGCTTGTGAAAATGTCTTGACAGATGATGTTATACATGTATTTGTGATGTTAGACTGTTTTGAAATATTATGATGTTAACATTATTCATTTAAAACCATGGATAATTTTTTTCATACTAAGTTATGACTGGAAACAATACATTTTTGCGAAAATCTTTTTAAATTGTTATCTTCACTTAGATAAAAATCTCATTAAGTGTGTGTTTCCAAATATGGCGGACAGAGCATAAAGTAGATGTTGTGTGTGTGCGCAAAGAATAAGTATTAGCCATTTAAGTCTTCTTTTTTATTTATTTAGTTGTGAAGTTCTGTATTTAGTTGAGAAGTTCTGTATTAGACTATAATTATATTTTGGTTACAGTATTATATTTTGTAATGGTTACTTAATACCTTATATTTATTTAATTGTTTGTATTTGGATATTCTAAAATAAAGTCAATTTCACTAAGACTTGCATTACAATTCTTCTATATATATATATATATAATTAAATTTCAAAAGACATTGGTAATGTTTCTTGTTTAATAATCGAATGATGTTACTTCAATGACAAAAGATGAATATACATATGTGGAGAAGATTTTTCAACGATGAGTAAGAGAGAAAATTAAAATTATTTTATCTTTATGGACCCTACTAAGTGTGAGGCAAGCATCTTCACCTAACATGATGTGTTTACACATATAGAATGAAATTCAATATGATGAGATTGTAATTATCTCCGTTTAAGGGTGTAACGGCCGGCGTGATTTCTTATATACCATAATGGCTAGCATGATGGATTGAACCATTGTGGCATGTCTTAGCAAGTCCCAATTATTTTTTTCTTTTAGTAGAATAGTATTGAAAATTTACTTTAAATGCAACGTAAAAAGATCTATTAAAATTGAGAAACCTGAGAAAATTGATACTAATGAATGACTGGAGCTATTTTGAAAAGTTAATTTTCAGTCCAACTAATAAAAAGTTAGGCTACCTTCATTTATTGCCCTTGAGGAGTAATATGCTTTGTTTTGCGTGATGAGGTAGGGCAATAGATGCTGAAAAATATCAAGATGAAATCTTACTATTTTGACAGAATTGAAGATTGGATATTCTCCTTTGCATAGAATAGAATCAGTTTTATGTAACTCATTCACACTGTTATATACCCGAGTACCAGAGTTTCTTTCATTTATTCTCCATAAAGCACCAATCAATCCCTCTCAATCCCCTCAGACTACACCCCACCATCCACCCCTTTCCCTGCGTGTCACTCATTAAAAACAGAAAAGCACTTGTTCTTGTCGTGCGTGCTCCATGCTTTTCTTCCATCTCACTTCTCTCTTCTCTCTTCTAATAAAGCAAGAGAAACTCACGCTTTTTATAAAGAGCTTCCCTTCTTTTCCCTCATCTCTCTCTAACCCCCAATTACAATAACGCTTCGTTTCTTTCCGTTCTAATTTGCTTCCCCATATCATTTATTGTTCATAACCACCATACTTATCCACTTACCCTAAAATAATTATGTTCCTGTTTTACACATAATAGTAACACCTAAAACCTTTAAAAATCTGTTATCAAAAAAAAAAAAAACCTTTAAAAATCAGTTCAACAAATCATCTCCAGAAAAAGAAAAATTAAAAAAATCCTCAATTTTTCCTACCGTCCACTTTACACTCCCATTTCATCTATCGGTTCCACCAAAAACTTCTCTTCGTGTCCAAATCCAAAGGGTAAACCCAAACCATAACCGATGTTATCATCCCCGTACATGTGACCTTCAATTTTTCTTCCAAGAAAACTCATTAACTTTACCACTCATCTAACTCCACAATTCTTCTCAAAACAGAATCCATATAAAAGATTAAAATAAAGGGAGATACGAAGTCATTTGAAGAGAAAAAATAAAAAAATATGGGTCCATTAAACCCTAAAATAAAATACAAACAAAACCAAATAAACGAGAAACCGAAAACCCCCGTTTATTTTCTTCACTCTACACTCTCATTGTCTTCCATCAAAATTTCACAGTAAACACTTCTCAACACTTCTGTCCCAAACCAACAAAACCAAAGAACATCATCCAATGTTGTCTTCACCCATACTTGTCTCCCTCACTCTCTTCATCTCTCTCCCTCTTATCCTCCTTTTCTCCCCACAAATCCTACCCCAAACATACTTTCCCTTCTCCTCCGAGGCCGACGACCTCGCCCTCTTCCGCCGCGCCACCACCGCCGCCCACACCACCAACCACTTAGCCACCACCACAAACCCCAAACCCAAAATCGCCTTCCTTTTCCTCACAAACACCAACCTCACCTTCGCCCCCTTGTGGGAAAAATTCTTCGCCGGCAACCACCACCTCTTCAACATCTACATCCACGCCGACCCCTCCTCCGCCTTCGCCTCTCCCGGCGGGGTCTTCGAGGGCCGTTTCATCCCTGCCAAAAAAACCCACCGCGCCTCCCCAACTCTCATCGCAGCGACACGACGCCTCTTAGCCTCAGCTCTTCTCGATGACCCACTCAACCAATACTTTGCTCTTATCTCTCAACATTGTATTCCGCTCTTGTCGTTTCGATTCGTTTATAACTATCTCTTTAAGGATCCATTAACTTCCTTAAAAAGTTTTGCTGGTTCCGGTTTCCGGTACCGCAGCTATATTGAAATTCTCTCCGATGAGCCGAACTTGTATGACCGTTACCTAGCTCGCGGAGAGAAGGCGATGCTGCCGGAGGTGCCGTTCGAGGCATTTCGGGTCGGGTCACAATTTTTTGTCCTGACCCGACATCACGCCGCAGTTGTGGTTAGGGATCGGAAGCTTTGGAAGAAGTTCAGGCTTCCTTGCGTCACGGAGGAGCCGTGCTACCCGGAGGAGCACTATTTTCCTACGCTTCTGTCCATGAAGGACACGAACGGGTGCACCGGGTTCACGCTCACGAGAGTGAACTGGACCGGTTGCTGGGACGGGCACCCTCGCCTGTATACCCCGCCGGAGGTATCGCCGGAGCTTATTCGCCAGCTGAGGGAGTCGAATTCAAGCTACTCGTATCTCTTTGCAAGGAAATTCTCACCGGAATGTCTGGAGCCGTTGATGAACATCGCTGATGACGTCATTTTCCGGGATTGAAGCGAGGTGAGTACAGTCTATAGACTATACTATACAGTGTAACAACTTTTCCTTTTTTTTTTTTTTAATAATCATATTTATCTCTTTTCTTATCGTATAATTTTTTTCGTTTCTTTAATGTCACTGTCTAACTGTTCATATTTATCATTTACATTTTGTAAAAGAATAATATTTCCACAAAAGATCAGGGGTCATTTTTAAATTTGATGTAAACCTATTAGGAATCAATTTGTCAAACCTGGCTTGATTAAAAAAATAAAAGTGGAATCTGATTTCAATTCTTTGTAGATTTTTTTAGTTTATGAAAGAAAAAGACACTGACTTATTTGATGTGTAGTGTCTAGAGCCCCTCAAATCAGTTTCATACATTGAATAGTTAAAGTGACAAAAAAAAGTATTTTTCCCCGCTTAGTTTAGACTATTTCTGTGGTAGAGATAGAGATACAGGTCGTCAGATATTCCCTCCCCTTCTTTCTTCTTTCTCTCCCAATGTGTTACACCTCCTCTACCTCTCAACATTTGTTTGATTGCATTTTTTTTTTAACGAAGATATTCCAATCGGTTTATCGCTTCCGTACTAGTTTGATTTGGAGTGGGTTTTAGGATTAATACTTTAAACCCATCTAAAAAATAATACTGAAAAGGATCGAGCACATGTTCTCACCTCCGGCTGTTTTCAGTTTCCTGACGCCAACTGAGCTACCATCGTTTGGTTGTTTGATTGCACTTTAATATGTTAGAACTGAAACCTTATGGAGTGATTCAGAATGTTACCCATTCTAGTTAGGTGAAGTTAGTAAGTCTTTGTGGGGTTACTTAGACACTGTTATTCTTGTAGAATTGGGTGCATAATATTTACTTGAACTGGTTATGAAAGCAATTAGATAGTTATACTTATTGGAGCAAGTCCTTAGTGGAGTAATTTAGAGGCGTGTGAATTGTGAAAGCTCTTGACTTGCACAGATAAGCTCACTCCTATAAGACTGAAACACCCATCAATTGTAGGTGGTTGCTGTGACTTGACCAATTACTCATTCTCTATTTTTTGCTTTTGGTGTTTGTTGCAAGTAATGGATTAGGTTAGGCAAACCTTATTTTATTTTTCAATGGTTATTGTTGAGTTGTGGCTAAAAAAGAAAGAGGTATTGTTGATATGATTGGGATGGATGGAAGTTTTTTAATGGGGTAGGTATGAGCAGTTGTAATGCAACTCATGATCTAACCCGAAGAGACTTGGTTCAATAATCAAGAGAGAAAAAAGACACTGAGGAGGCTTTAGCATCAGCAAATATCTGATAAATGTTCATTGTAAACGTAACTAAATTATTTCTGGTGTTCACTACTTGTACTTTACCTAAGTTCTTGTTGCCTACCATGTCCTTGTAAGGTTTTTATCAATTCACAGGAACATGGGACCTGGTGTTCCTAGTCAATTAGGTCTCAAATTTTAATAGAAGTAAGTAACCCGACATAAACATACTGTAAATTCAGATAACTCACTTTCTTACAATTTTTTTTTTCTTAAAAATAATTGAAAGAAAGAAAGAAAGGCATATTATTCCCGCATCATATTGTTATTACTAGATTACAGTATAGGTGTGCACATGTTAGGACCAGTTAGACCAGCTTTGACCAGTTAAAAAAATGTGACTTTAGGGGTATCCATATTCCATATTAAATTGAGTGATGTTACTTTCATAACTCTTCTAATTACAAAAGATCACAACTGTAATTGATTCATTGATCATAAGTCATAACATCTTTCTTATTTTTATTTATATAATAAATATTAATTCTAAATGTTATTCTTAAACTATAAAAAAAAAAAAACTGAATACAGTATATGTTGATGTGGAGCCATATGTTTCGCTGACATCACAAAAGAAACAATGTGTACAGGAAAAATAACATAAAATAAGCTATTTCAGTTGTCCTAAGTAATGCATCATTTTTCCCTGCAACACAATCCATAGGGACCCTTAGATCTTTACTTCTGACTATGACCTCTTCATATCATCATCCAATGAAACGATTGTTATAATTTCAATGTCATCCTGGCAATTGTCAAAGGTTTATCCAATGGTAATCCAGATTTAGTTCCCTTGAAGCAATGCTATTTTGTAAGGGTCCTACAGGTACAATGATATAGCCGAATCTTTTTATGCTAGTCACAAATTACTACAACTTGGATCTCAATAGAGGATATTTTCTGTGACTGGTCATTTTCAATTCTAATAATACAGCCAAATGGCTGAAACTATGTACTGAGGTCACGTGGGTGGAAATGAGATCTTCACTAGATCCAACCTTAAAAATATGCTAGTGCTTGATATATATATATATATATATATATATATATAGGCAGGATATTCTTACACCAGTGTAAGAGTTAGAAGTCTTACACTCAATCTTGACCATTGATCCACTTGTATCGAATGGCTCACATTACTAAAAAATTTGAACCATTAGATATAAGTGGAATCAGCGGACAAGATTAAGAGTGTAACTTACACTGGTGTAAAATGATCCTAACCCATATATATATATATATATATATATATATATATATATATATAAAAGCAGGATCTTCTTACATCGGTGTAAGAGTAATAATTCTTACACTCAATCTTAACTATTAATTTTTGCATATCTAACGGTTATAATTAATAATTAATTAATGAGAATAATATAATTAATTACAGTCGTTTGATGAACGAAAATCAATGATTAAGGTTGAGTGTAAGAGCTATTACTCTTACACCGATGTAAGTTGATCCTATCTCATATATATATATATATATATATATATGTATGAGTCAGGATCATTTTACACCAGTCTAAGTTACACTCTCAATCTTGTCTTGTCCATTTATTCCATTTATATTTAAGGGCTCTAATTTTTTAGTAAACTGAGCCATTGGATACAAGTGGATCAATAGTCAAGATTGAGTGTAAGACTTCTAACTCTTACACCGGAGTAAGAATATCCTGTCTATATATATATATATATATATATATATATATATATGAGCTCATGAGCCTCCTTCACGTGCATTCTTTGACTGTTTATCTCACGTGCATTCTGTTTTCATTTTTCTTTTTTCAGGGCATCTTTGTTGATTTTGCTGCGAAGAGAAAAGCTCATGTTGATGTACAATGCCAATGTCTTAATGATGTGTATAGAAAATCTGATTGCTTTAATTGTAGAGGTTAGTTGTAATGTCTTGTATGTGAAACGGACTAGGGGCTAAGTGTGGTCTCCAAAGGAGGCCACCACTGTTGAATATTGAGAACTGTATTTTGAAAAACGTCATGGAAAAGGTCCATTGTAAAGGGGGTGAAAGTATATAAGATGGATATATTTTATCTGTTTGTGATAGGCAAATCTTGTGTGCAACACAAAAAGAAAGCAAGCAATAGCCAATGTTCATTATTGTTTTTTTTCTTCTCTTTTTTCATCTTTCCCCTTCCCTTATCTAGCTCCTTGTAACTCCAATGAAATTCCTAAGGGAAAACACACACATACATACACTACTGGCTGCAAATGGAAGCTTGAAATAAATATATTAACAAATAAAAATCACACACACACACACTTAGCCAGCCTTGCTCTTGCTATTGTCTCTTTACTTTTCTGCACTTTCTTTTTCCTTTGTATGTTCGGTGGAAAATTGAGTTCTTGAACGGCCTCATTTTGCTTGCCAAGGCAGAAGGGAATCCGAGAATTATGTGGCTTCTTCTTCTTAAACGTATTTTTTCTTAACTAAAATTAAAAATAAGTGAGAATTATGTAATATTAATCATTAAAAAAATTGAATAGGGTAAATGCATTTAAATAAGTTACTTTTTTCTAATTTTAAAAGAAACTTTTCAACCAATTAACTTTCTCACTTTATGCGCAGTAATGTTAAGTTTGCTTTGGTACTTTTATTTGGTGGTAGTGTGCGGCTGTTAGCTTATGATGTGGAATTTCAGGCTGTCCTGATGGGTGATCTAGAGTTTTTTAACGAATATTGCAGACGAACGCAACATCATTATCTCTTATTCACCAATCTCCACCAAAGTTCTAAAGGCTCCTTTGTGGAGTAAATTTCTTCATATTCCTTACCTATTAGCATATTTCAATATACCATCAGTTGCCCCAATAATGTAGAATCCACCCATTTGCAGCGCTCAACCTCAAGGTTTTAGCAAGCGAGATATTAATCAATATATTAAAGGAAAAAATATTTCTCGTTTTAAATAACACAACTATGTATCATTTTAAATAAAATAATATCGTTTTGATGCATAATTGGTTATATTTTACTTTCTTTCTCCTCTATTTTCTCTTTCTTACTAATTTTAAGGAAAAGAGAGAAGATAAAAAAGTATCATATATACACAAAAACGATACTGTTTTATCTAAAATGACATAAAATTATGTCATTAAAATTACAAAATACATGGATTAATATATTTTTTCTTTAAATTGAAAGAAAAAAAAAAGAATATCATTGACCGTTAGATACCATTGTTCATATTGGCGCACTTATAAATGTACTCTTCTTAATGCAGCTCTAAGTTATAATTAGATCCTCGTGTCATGATAATCCTAAACGAATCTTGTCTCCATGTCATCCTTCTATGTGAATCCTTTTTCAATAAATCTATCCTCATAACATTTAAAATTATTTTAAGAGTCACGCTTAGTTTTAAAAACCCATTAACTATGAACTCTCTTATATAACTAGTTGACAATTTTACAAGTTTCTATACTCCATTTTATTATATGGATCTCAGCTCTTTTTCCATGGTATCTAAACACTTGTCAACAATATCGTTGTTGGCGGCTGGTTTGTGAGAATAAAACTGGATCATTACCATTTATGCTTAAGTTTTGACTTTTATAGATATACAACATAGTCATAAAAAATAGTGTCTCATTTTTCTTTGAGACCTTGTTAATATTACTTCTTGAGGTTTTTCTACAAAAGGTTCATATATTTTAAACGAAGGCAATTATACTTATTATTATTTTAGTCTTATCACTTTTATAATCTGTTTGATTATTGTTGGATTAATTTGTAATCTGTTATGAATCTAGATATTAGGTCCCCATCTTAACGACCTAGCAAACAGATAAACACCATATCAGTGATGGATAGAGATATTAGAGACATAATCCTAACAATAGGATAAGGCCTCATGAGTCATGACAACCTCATAAAGATAGGATGGAGGCTCAACCAGGTAACTCATTATAAATAGGAGTTACTATCATTAGTTACACACTTTTGTCTCATCTTTACTTTTTGTCATCACTGTGCACACACCCACATCTTGGCTATGCCGTTTACTATTTAGTGTACAATGATCAATACACCCTTGCGGTATCTCTATCATAGATACCCATGTGCATACAAATCCCTTATTAACTCATCACCCATCGAGTGAACATTCTCGATCCAACCAGATCGAACATTGTTGCCGCTTGTGGGGATCAGAGAATTTTAATTGCCATTCTGCGATGGTTCACACGCGCAGTATAATAACCCATATCAATATATTGGAAAATATAGGGTGATTATGAAGTTGATCAATTAAATTAGTGATCAGTGATTTAAATATATTCTTGAGTGGACTTGAGAGCAGTAAATCATGCAAATGACATGATAATTAATATGAGGGTACAATTCATGCCTAACAAGTCAATTAGGACCTAATAAGAGTATAAGTTGTGTTGGAGAGACTTAAATATCAAAATTGTGATAACGAGGTATTTTAGTAATTTTACAAAATAGGTCTGAACTGAGTTCTGTCAGTGCAGTAAAATTGTTTGGTGAATTTTAAGTATTTAAGGTATGTCTAATTTAATGAGATGATATGTAGAATAATTTAAAAAAGTAAGTCAAAGATTAAGGAAATTAAAAGTCAAACTAGGTTAAAGTAAGCTTAAACTTTGCAACTAAACTTAATTCTTGGTCAAATATGATTGTATTGCTTTGTTTGCTATATCATATGTGTAATTATTTTATTATATAATTGGTTGGTAAAAGTTCATGAGTATTACATGTAAAGTAACAACCAATAAGAATTAAGTAACATAAACATTGAAAAAGTCAACAATTGTATGCTATTTTCCTTTATGAGTGCAATGGCAAATTAAAACATCAGGTTATATAGAGAGTAATGTCTAGGCTCAATGGGCTAAGCAAAAGATATCAAAATGGTTTCACACCAAAAAGAATTTTTCTATTTAGTCTCAAAACGTCATGGCTATGAGTGTGCAATTCAGTTAACTATACTCTCTCAATTACTCATACTGTAATTCTAATATCTGCTAATTTCAAACTTACTCAATCAGTTCTCATCCACAAAATCAAATATGGTATAAGTCATTACACTATGAATCAAATTCACTAACCAATTCCGTATTAATTTTCAATTGAAATAATTATAAATTTTCAACATTAAATAAATCCAAGGAAAGGAAATAATAATAAAAATGAGGAGAAAATAAGAGGAAAATGAAAAGAAAATTCCCTGAATTTTTTTAACTGACGCACGATAGGAATCTAACTGCTATTGTATGTGGTAGTGCTCCTCATTCCCAGATTTAAAAGTTTGTTGTCCTCAGCAATCAATGCACATCAGAAACAAGGAACATGTAATAATAATAATAATAAGTAGCATCAGAAAACTATCAGATACATTACCATGGAGATAAGAAAATAAAATAAAAACAGAAATAAAAATAAACATAAACATAAAGAAAGCAAGAAAATCTGTTGGGCTACCTCCCAATATAACACCTCGTATTTCTAAATCATATAATTATATTTAAATATGGATTAAAGGGTAAGATTAGTGAAAATCCTGAATTCGGAACTAAAATACATAAAAAAGGGTAAAACGGTAATTTGACAAACACGTAACCCTAAGAAATGAAATTTGAGTAGAAGGTCTCAAATGAGAAAAATAACACCAGAAATGGATTCAGAATGCAAAATTGAGTGGTGAGGCAAGTTTCTGGGAATTTGATGAATAGTATTTTTACCGGATAAAAATATAGCGGTACAGTTGCACCGTAAAGCATGCTGAATGAATTTTGATTTCTAGGTTTGGAAATAAGTTATAAATGGTACATAGGACTAGGAATTATGATTTCTGATGAAAATTGATTGAAATTAGGGTTTTTGGAGAAACGTGTCCACAGTGCACACAATAGCTTAAAACTGTGATTTCACCGAACGACTGGAAAACTCCGGATTCATCTGATCAAGGGAAATTAAAGGACATCTGTGAATGTTAAAATTTGAAGTTTCTAAATAGTCTAGGAATAAATGGACGTTTAGTGGTTTAAGCGGGAGATTTGAATTAATTTGAATCGCGTGAGGTGGCAGTGGGACCCACCCTACTTAAGTGGACTTGTGCCACATGGCCAAGTCACTATTGCATCATCCCCTTCCTCCCCTTCTCTCTCTTAAACCCGAGCCACCTTCATCTTTGTGCAAGTTTTTGTCCAAAACTCCATCTCCTTTAAACTCCATCAAAATTCAACCAAAGCACAACTTCCACCACATGAAACTTCAAGTAAATGATGCCTTGCTAACAGTTGTGCAAGTAATGCGCGCAAGTATACGCGACAACAAGTAATATAGGGCTGTTATAAGTCCCAGTTATCGTTCCCACAAGGATCGTTGGCGTTTTGAAATGACTAACAATTGTAATTGCTTAAACGGAACCTATTCTAAAAATGAGTAAAGATGAAAAACAATTAAACACAATACTAATACTAACCAGTGACTTCTTTCTTTTTAGATTTTTCTTTTTTAAAAAAAAATTGATTTAATAACTTAAGGAATGGAAAATCAAAAGGAAAATGAGTTGATGTTTTTAATGTAAACAGAAAAGTTAGATGCAAAAGATTCTTAGATGAAGAAATTGGTAACCAGAATGAGAGGTGAGATATTGAAAATCAAATGACAAATAATGCAGAAGTGTTGAAAACTAAGGTTTAAAAAAACAGGTTGAGTTTCGGTTCCCCATCCCCAACAGCCTCTGAATGAGTGCTAACAAAAGACAAGTCTCTAAAAATTAATTCCCCAGTGTTGGACCCTTTTCTTATTGCTTTTAATCTCTTAAAAACATTTTTATCTTTACCCAACATTTGCACATCTCTGTGCTAAATGCAGCAAAGACCATTATATCCTAAACCAACACAACATGGAGGTTATTCTCATCTCTGAGTAACACCCCTTGAGTGCTCTCACACTCAAGACCATGTGTTCAACACAATTCTGGACTTAGTCATTTCTCAATGACTAATTCCCAAATCATATCCTACCATCAGGCCTCAACAGTAGCATAATTAAATTAAAGCACAGTGTTAAACAAACAGGGAATCGACTTTAAGAAAAAGAGTATTCAGCACATATTCAAGACTGTGGTTCGGGTACCTACACCC